ATTACCAAAGGTATAAAACGTTCTATGCTTAATGGTTTAATCTTTTTGGAAATTCACTACCAAAGGCATAAAACGTTTCATGCTCAGGAGGTTTATTACCAAAAGTATACAACGTTCTATGCTTACTGATTTAATCTCTTAGGAGATTTACTACCAAAGGCATAAAACGTTCTATACTTAACGGTTTAAATTCTTTGGAGTTTCACTACCCCAAATGTATACATGTTCTTATACTAAAGCACAATCTTTTATTTTTCATTTCTCTTTATTCATCAGTGTGTTTACTTTTAAGGGACTAATTGACCCTTGGAAATCACCAAGGAAAGTGTCATTATCACTTATTATCAAGTTTGGATTTCAAATCATTATCACTCAAGTTTGGGTTTTTCTAAGTCATTATCACTCTTTTGAGTTTGACTAGTCCTTGTTGCACATCTTGAGTTTGACTTGGAATCCCTTATCACTTGTAAATAAGTTTGACTCTTCCTTTGTAATTTCCCCCAAAGAAAATAAGATTTGTTTCTCGGGTTAAGTTGATGCTTGTTTCTCTTTATTGCGTTTTGGACTTAGTGGACGTAAATAACACTTTTTCACAAACAGGAGAAAAGATAAAGAAATGGAAAGGTAATAAAAAGGCTAATAAAATTGGTTAAGGTAAGCATTTTTGCTTTAGCATATTGCATAAGTGTGAATGTTGTCATATCAAACATACTACCATGAGGCTAACTTCTTATTTGATATACCTGTTTGAATGCCTATGGATGAAGGCTAACCACTTGAATTGGGATACTTTGATTCATGTATATATGAGATCACCATTTTAAGTGATACATATTCAAAACACTTTTTTTTTCAAAACAAACATGAAATCAAACATTCTAACTTTTCATGAAATTAGTCTATACTTGTATGTTACATATAGAATAAGAGCATATACTGTACATAAAAATCACATCATGATTAGTAGAGGCCGATCTTTGACCGGGTGAGTGGGGTGTTCAATTATTGACCTTCCCCTCTCATACCTAAGTTCCCGAACCAAGACACTTTGGTAATGACGGACTAATGGCCTTTTGGCATGAATCATGGGTTTCCTAAATTTCTCAAAATAAATATTTAGGTGGCGACTCTGATATCTGGCAAAGCAGTCCATTTTTGGCATTTGATTCAAACATTGATTTTCCAAAAGAAATTGTCGGATTTGAACTCTTTTTGTGTTTTCACTGTTTTACATTGCACTTGTGAAATCAAAATCAGAACCAACACACAAGTGGAGTTCGAACTGTAAGGGCTATTAATCCTTCCGAAAGGGAGCGTTAAAAGCCGAGCTACACTACTGCACTTGTCTTCTTAGCTCGAACCTCAGCAGGTGCACTTGCAACGGTAAGCCTTGCTGATGCACTTGCCTTCTCAATTCTATTTAGCCAGTACATACATTCTCAAAACTCCATTAGCCTGCTATCAGCTATGTTTGTGTTCACCTTAGTGAAACCTCCACCCTTAGCCACCTAACCACAAACTCCCCAGCTTCCCAGGGTGAAGGCCACAACCAGGCCTACTATCAGCCATGTTGTGCCTTAGTACCAAGCCTAAGGGGGTTTCCTTAGTCCTACCTATGCGACTAAGGTAGGTCCATGACCTGGGTAATGGAAAGGGAGTCCTTTATACTCAGGCTACCCTGCTTCCATCTTCAATGGATTGTCGCGGTAAACTGGTATCTCTGGGCCTGCTATCAGCTCCAACCAGTAAGTCTTGGGGCCTGCTATCAGTGCCAGGTTAATGAACTTTGGGGCCTGCTATCAGCGCCAAGCATTAGTCTCTACTTGTAGAAGGGAAGTTTCTCCCGAAGGCTGCTATCACCTTGGCAGGATGTTCCCTCCGCATATTAGTTGCAGCGGCTGTAGTTGCTGCAGCAGTCATTTCCCGCGGCTAGTTCAAATGGTAGAACCGACAATATTAGAAATGGTGGCGCCAACAAAATACCTCCGCAACTTGGACGCTACAAGTACTACCTCTGCAACTTAGTTGCTTTGGTTTTCTCCTTCCCTCAACAACTCCAGATGGTTGTGGTACCGACAATACTTGGAATAGCGACGGTACCGACAATACTTGAAATGACGACGCTGCTGAGAGCATCAATCTCTTGGTGTTCCCTCTCACTGTCAAACTTTGCAGCGACAATCAGATCCCTTTGGCTCTCCTCTTCTTTGGGAATTTATACTTCTGTCTAGACCTCATTCATTCGAACATGGAGAGATCTATAGGCCGCTATAACGTATGAAGCTTTGTTCATACCCAGTTCCTGACCGCCTTCTTCTACGAGCAGTTTCTGCCATGGACCCCGTCCCTAAAGAGCATGAGCCCTTTTTTACCGACGAAGTCCTTGATGCAAAGGGTTGTCTTGTCCTAGATGTAGAGGGACGGCCCGTCACAAGACAAGTGTGCCATTCCCTCCCTCACATCTTCAAATGGTCTGGTGTTGGCACCAACAGACCTTTCGTGGACTACATTGACCGCATGGAGGAGTGCATGCTTCACCTTTTTACCCACCTTTTTCCAGGTATCTTTGTTGTTCCGTTCTATTTTTCTGAGGCTTGTCATGTTGATTTTTCTCTTGATAGCGTCTAGGCCAACTCCATTTTTATCGTTGCTATGATATGCCCTAGGTTTCTATCCGTATGGAACGATGAGGGCATGTTCAACATCGTCTATCGACCGGACAGGGTCCTTAGACAATTTGGTAGGGATCAGGGTATCCCATATGCCCCTCCGCCTCAGACAGATTTTCAACAGTGCTTCCAGCAGTTTGCTCGTGATTACACTGCTTTACTTGTGGAGGGTTTAGGCCTCATGGAGTTGCCCTTGCTTCGAAGAGAAGGCATCTTCACCCCTAGCAACAGGCTATTCCCACTTATGGGTTGTCCAAGAGGCGGCGACATCAGTTACTGAGGCTCGTGCCTTACCAAGTAAGAAGAGACTCCGGAACGTATCCATACTTGGAAAATATTCTGCGTTTTTCGTATTTCTTTGGGCTTTTTATCCTTACTATAGTAATCACATGATCTTTTTTCCTTTTCAGGGCCCATCAGCTTTACTACCTTCGGGCCCCGAAGGTCCTTCTACCGTTATCAAAATTTCTTCAAATTCAGATGACGACGACGACGACGACCTACCTATTTCTTCAAGGGTCACAAGACTCAGAACTCGCAGAATGGTACTTCCAAACGTTGAAGAAGAACCAAATGCTGAGGTCGAACCAACTACTGAGGTTGAGCTAGTTGCTGAGGCTAAGCCAGTGGTTGAGTTTGAGCCAATTGCTGAGGCTAAGTCAATTGTTGAGTTTGCAGACATGGAAGAAGGTTATAATACCCCCCTTGTTGAAAACGAACAAGTCCCCCCTACTGTGGAAGTTCCAGCAGGTGGTATAGTTGCTGAGGGTGTAGAACCTCCAAACCCTGCTGATTATGTTCATTCTGACCGTTCCTCCGTCGACGGGGATGATTTTGTTCCTGAGACTCCGAGAGAAGAGCGTGGTGTAAGGAAGCCACTGGAAGTTGCACCACCCCTCTTGGGAGCTGTATCTGGGGGTTTTTTCCAGTCCACTGAGTCTCCACTGGTTTAACAGACCCCACTCCCCAATGTTCAAGTTGCTGAGGAAGGTGCAGATGTAGCAGTTGTTCCTGCTGTGGGCCTCCCAAATTTGGCCCAACTTGCAGAGGTAGCTGTCAACCTGGCCACTGATGGTTCTACTGTTGTCGCTAACACTTCTGACCCAGTCGCCTCAACAATTTTTGAGCAACTCGCTGACCTGTACCCCACTTACTTCCCTGAGGTGCCAACTAATCTTGGAGGGATCACGAGACTTTTATGTAGGCATGGATACCACTGTTATGCCAGATCTGAATGTTGAGGGCTACCATATGGACGACCTCTTTTCAGAGCAACATGATGGTGCAGACAGCTTTGGCCTTTCTCACGAAGTCAGGTCACCCAGTCGCCACCCAGCATCTACCCATTCCAATGCTGCTTGGCAGTCATCTTCAAGGGAGGTGCGTCACCCTCAAACCTTTGGTCGCTTTGCCAATCTCCCCCTAGTAATTGAAGTTGGTGACAGTGTAAGAGAGTCCCTTTAGTTCTCAGGAAAAGTTTCTTTTCTAAGTTATTGGGTCTTCTCCAAAGCTGCTCCCACTCTTGCCCGTGTCCAGACGCTACACCCTGGCACCTTTACTGCTTTTAACGTTCCTGGCTCTATGGTTCAGATAGCGTTGTTGGAGTCACTTGCCAGTTTCATTCGCGACCTTGCAACCAAGAAGATTCTGATAACTCCCAGCAAATTCGTGGAAAGTACTGAGGCCAATCTGAGCGGCTTTGAGAGGAATGGTTTAGACCTATCATGGATGAGGGATAGGCTTCAGGCAGTCGATGGCTTTCTTGAGCACACAGACAACGTGGTGATGATTGCATCCTTATAGGAGACTATCAAGACGTGTGAGAGTGCCTTGGAGCAGCACCGACAGAACCTAGCTCAGTTCAAGGAAAAGGACTCCGCACTCGTTGCTCAGTTGTCTCGGGATATAACCCTGATGGACTCCCTCATGAAGGGTTTGATTTGATGTATTATGGCTTTGTTGTGGCTCTTTTTCTTTGTACTATTGCTATCTGTTTTTTTTTTTTTCTTCCTTCTTTTCCCTTTGAGCACTGTAATCATGTTATGGAAAACTTTGATATTTATGAGAAACAAAGATATTAAGCCTTACTTTACTGCCTTCCTTTCATTGTCTTTTACATAACTTCTAAAGACAAGCAAAACTCATGCCATGAACAAAACTTCATCATGACTAAGCTTTTTACATGGACAAAATTTCACTAAGTATGGAAAACTTTCTTCACGCTAACTGTTTACAAGAGTAACAGGTTTACTAAGTGTATGACATTTTCTTACACTTTGCTTTGGAAGTATCAACAAAGAAACTTACAACTCTTTTTTTGAACAAAAGAAATTAAGGAAAATACTCCTTTACATACTTAGCATAGATAAGGCCAGTCCTAAACCCACCATCTACTCTTGTCAACTTGTAATATCTGTTACTGCTTGCCTCAGAAACTTTGTAAGGACCTTTCCATCTTGGCGAGAACTTGGGGATTAGTTGTCTCCACATGATTGCGTCCACTGTTTTCCATACCAAGTCCCCCTCATTGAACTCCTTGTGTTGAACAGATTGATTGTAGGCGCAAGCCATAGACTGATGATACTTTTCCATTGTTCGCGTGGCCCGATCTCTTCTTTCTTCAGCTACCTCTATGTCATTCTTCCTACTATCTGGAACTAAGTGTGCTAGCATAGCCATTCTTGCTGAGGGTACCGCCAACTCAACTGGTAACATAACTTCGGACCCATTTACTAGGAAAAATGGGGTTGCCTGAGTTGGCTTGCTCTTTGACATTCTATATGTCCAGAGTGCTACGAGGAGTTGTTCGAACCATGTGCCCTCTACTTTATCCATCAATATACTCAGTATTCGGATGAGGATTTTGTTGGTTGCCTCAGCTTGTCCGTTCCCTTGAGAATAGTATGGAGTAGACTTGTGGTGCTTGATCTGGAAGGCGTCCAACAATCTTCCCACATGGCGGTTCACAAAAGGGGTCCCATTATCAGACAACATCACCTTGGGTATGCCAAACCTACAGATTATGTTTTCTTTGATGAAGTTGGCCACTCCTGCCCCATCTGCCTTTCTCATCGGCATAGCCTCTACCCACTTGGTACTAACTTCAATCGCTGCAAGTATTTATCTGTGGCCTTTGGATTGCTGTGCTATAGGACCTACCAGATCAAATGCCCAAATATGAAACGGGTAAGGAGTCTTGATGTTGTGCAGTTCAACTGCCAGTGCATGTATCAAGTTCCCAAACTTCTGGCAAGATTGGCATCTCCTTACAAAGTTTTTAGCATCTTCTTCCATTGTCAGCCAGTAGTAGCCGAGGTGAATAAGGTGCCCATATAATCGCTACACTCCTTGATGCTCTGCCTTGTGGGTTTCACGTAGCACTTCGTTTGCCTCATTTTTTGATAAACACGCCAGAGGTTCCCTGTCAAAGTTTCTGAGGTACAACTTGCCTTGGTCAAGGAAGAAGCGGAAGGCCTGCCTCTTAACTCTAATTGTATCAGCTTTGTTCTCAAGCAGTGTGTCGTTTCCAAGATAGCCAATGTACGACTGCCTCCATTTCTCACTGCTTAAGAAATGGGCTTCTTCTTCTTTAGAATGGGACTGACATTTTGTACATTGCCTCTGCAACTCAGCACTTTCCTTTTCTATCTTTAGCTAGTAATACCCCTGCCTCTGCATCCATCGGTATAGACTGATATCTCTATCTCCACAGGACTTAGCATGGATCTGCTTAAGTTTATAAGTTGTTTCTTGTCTATCGACGCACCTTGCTAGCAGGTTATTGGGACTGCGAAAATATAACTCTCCTCTGAGGAGCAGGAATAATGCAAGTTCTACTAGTCTGATTATCCCTTGGCTTGTTTTCAGCTGTTGGATAATGTCTGTTTTCCACCCCTCAGCACCTTGCTTTGTATGTCCTTCGGTTAACACTGTTGGTGTTGTTCTTTTCTCGATGACGATGGCTATACTATTATCTGGTATATCCACCTTTGCCTCTAGTGTAGCCAAGGCATCGGGGAAACGGTTGTGTGTTCGAGGGGTGTACTGGATTTGGACATCATCAAACTGAGTGAGCAACTTTTGAACTATGGTGCAATACCGGGCCAACAAGGGCTCCTTCAAGGCGAAATCACCCATTGTTTGCTTGACAATTAACTTGGAGTTACCCCAAATTTTCAACTTACGGAGGCCTTTCTTTTGAGCAGCAATCAGTCCCAAGTTTTTCTATTGATCTGTTAAGTCCTATTAGTGGAGAATTTCTTTCCGTTTGGTCCTATTTTTTTAATTTGGTAGTGTTTTGGTAGGCAGTTTTACCCTTTTATTAATGTGATAGGCATGATATTATACTCCAATGTGGCAGGTATTAATATCATACTCCAACAACGTGACACTCTAAAAAATTAAAAACTCCTTAATGTACTTTTTCTAAATGTGACAATGTGACAATGTGACGGGTATGGTGTGACACTCCAAAACTTTTATTCTAAAAAAAATAATTTCTCCTTAGTGTACTTTTTCAAATGTGACAGTGGTAGGTATGATGTAACACTTCAAAAAAATAAAAACTCCTTAATGTACTTTTCTCAAACGTGACAATGTGACAGGTATGATGTGACATTTCAAAAAAAATATAAATTCCTTAGTGCACTTTTCTCAAACGTGACAACGTAGCGAGTATGATGTGACACTTTAAAAAAAATTAAAAACTTTTCAATATACTTTTTCCAAACGTGACATGTCACACTCCAACGTGGCAGATATGATGTGACACTATAAAAAAATTAAAAACTTTATAGTGTACTTTTTCCTAAATGTGACATTCTAACGTGGCGAATATGATGTGACACTAAAATACTCTTTAGTCTATTTTTCTAAATATGACACTCCAATGTGGCGGGCAAATGAGTCATCACACACTTAAAAAGACTAATTGGATCACAAGAAAAAATATGGGACTATATGGATTCCAAGTCCAAAATATGGGACTTATTGGTCAATCCACCTAAAAAAAATAGTGGACACTTTTGGTTTATTTTGATTTTTTCAAAAAAAACTACTTCTTTAATTTGTCTACACAAGACGGATCAAAAAAATTTTAAAAAAAATAATAATATACTTTTAGAAAAAATCAATAAAAAATATTTTTTTTAGAAAAAACAACTTATTAGTTTGGTGCGAAACCATCGTAGGAAACTCTTTTCGATAAGCTTGGTGATTTCTTGTATGAGCAATGACACTAACATCCCAAACACCACCTAAGGAGTTGTTTTTTTTAGTCTGGATCATCTGCCACACTTTCCTACGGCCCTCCTTGCGGTGGTTCAAAACGACGTCGTTTTGGGCCCTTTTTTTTCTTTCTTTCTTATTTTTCTTTTCAGCCTCATTTGAGATTTTGAACCCTAACCCCTCTTCAGAGAAGCTAATAGAGAGGTGACGAACAGAGATTGGAAGAGGCCTCTGGGGGGATAAAGAATCCTAGAGTGAAGACTTTTTGTGCAAAGACTAGGAAAGTGAAGGAAGAGAAATTGAGCTCATCACCTTATTTGAGTGTGCTAATGATGATGAAGCAAGAGAGGCCAAGAAAATTGGAAAGAAAATTCTGATGATGACCATGAAATTTTCCTTGGCAATGGTAGCCATACTCAGCAGGTGTAACACATTGATGCTGTCTACATCGCCCCCTCTATTCGTCTCTCATCGTCTCCCCTCGCCTCACCGCCGCCTCTCCTCATCTAAAGTAGGGATGTAATCGGTTCGGTATGGTCGGTATTTAGGTAAAAAATTACACCGAACCAATAATGTCGGTTTTATTATTTTGAATACCGATACAGACCGTTTCTCCTATCAAACCGCACCGAACTGAACCAATTGAAAAGGTTCAGTTTAGTGCGGTTTAATCGGTTTAGGATTTTTTAAACTTGAGCCAGTTTTAAATATAATCATTAATCTATATAAAAACATTAAATTAGTTATTTGTCTATCATTTCAAACATTTCCAATCCATCCATTTAAAACATACTTTTCAATTCCTAAATTAACAAAAATAAAAACAAAAAAGAGTTTAAAAATACTAAGGTTTCAAGAATAATAAGTTAGAATTAAGATTATATATAATAAGAGTTTACAAACTTAGGTTATAAAGATGATAAGGTTAATTAATTAAGGTTAATAATTTATTATACTTATTAATATCGTTATATTATGAAATTATATATATTATAAATACAATATATGTTGAAGCGGTCGGTTTCAGTTTAGATCGGTGCACAAGGTACTTAAACCGATACCGAACTGAAAACCAAAAAAAATCAAATTTAAAAACTGTGCAGACCAATTCTTGTTAAAAAAACAAACCAAATATAGCTGGTTTGCTCCAGTTCAATTGGTTTGGTTGGTTTTTTTGATTTTTCTTACATTCCTGCCTAGAGACCTCTTCCAATCTCCGGAGGCAAATAAAAAAAACTTTTTTCTAAAACATAAAAAGAAGAAGAAATGGGGCTTTTATTGTGGGTTTATTGGGTTAGATTTGTTGTGGATTTATTGGGCTTTTGTTTGTGCAACTTAGGGGAGAGTTTTCAAGTTCCCTAAGTTTAGCAATTTGTATTGGAAACATATCTTGCTTTATGGAAATGCTGGATTTTGTGCTGATTGTCCCTATATTCAATAATTAATAGCAAATAAATTTTATTGTGATTTGGTTGTGCTTATTTTTTTTTCTTTTTTCTTTTTTTCCTTTTCATCTCTTCAATTGCAGTTCATCACTCTATTATACCATAAAATCTATTGTCATTACTTAATGCTTATTTTGTTCTTTTTACTTATATTGGTAAATTCAATTGCATGACTATTTTACTTATAGTATGCTAAAGCTTGTTGTGGAATTTGATGAATCAATGACTCTAGGACATAAATAATTTCCTCGTGCATCAGATAAAGATCTGACTATCTGAAAGTCAGTGCTAATTTTGTGTTTTAACATCATTTTGATTCTTGTATCATCGCATTTCTAAAACATCATATTGTGCTTATTTTTTACTCATATGCTTAATAGCTTGCCTCTCATCACATTTTATGTGTTTTATCTCTACAAAAAGTAAAGAAATTCACTCTTGACGGAACAAAGCCAAGGGAAAGTTAAGTAAATGAACCCAAAGATAATCAATTAGATTGACACCCATCAATGGATAAAAGATGAGATTATATATGTTGTATAAGTATTTCCACTTTTTTATATGATTGCCATTACTTATTTGAAAAATCTAGAAATCCCCGAGATATTGATTTGTGATTTTGTAACAATTTTAACGAGTAAATAGCAATCTCAATCAAACAATCAAAGATAAATCAACATAACGATTTAACGTGGAAAAACCACAATTAGAGCGCCTCCAATTGTGATAAAAAAAATCACTAGCAAAAGCCACAAACCAATCCACTAAGAAGACATAAAGGAATTACACAAGTGTACTCTCAATTACCTAGCGAATCCACGCTCGAATAGAACTGACCCCTATGTGCCTCTTCTAGCCCCATCTTCACTTCGGAATTGTCTTGTACAACGTTGAATCCACAACGCCAATGTCAAATTCACGATGATGAGCCACTCCAGAATCCAGCAAAGCTTCAGGCCCAAATTCCACGGAATCCACCGAAGAACAACTCTCTCTTTTGTATTGAATCAATAAAACAAACAAACCATTTGATATAATCCACTCAATTCATGAGTAAACTCTCACAGATATCAAAGGAAACAAGCAAAGAAGCCCCAGATGAAAACCCTAATACCCAAGAACAAGATCTAGAAGCCGTAACCCTAAAAATGAATGAAACCATATATTTATAGAAAATTGATCCGCGATCTCCACTCGAGCGCAAGAATGGCCACTCGAGCGGGACCTCGCTTGAGCGCAGGAAAGTTCGCTCGAGCGTAAAATCCCAACTTCTAGTACTTTTGCAGATAGGTCAAATGTCTGGAACCAAACTTTCTTCGTTCAAGCGCACAAACGGCCGCTCGAGCGGACAAGCAACTTCGAATGCATTTTTACATTTTGCTTTGGGGGTGCTGCCTCTCGACCCCG